GTATAAACATATTTGCATCATCATGAGGCGTTAGGTAATGAAAAATAGAGCTGCTAATAATGGAAGGATTGGAATTGCTCACCTCTATACAAACTTCTCTATGGAGGTAATCAATGCGCTCTCTGGAACAGCCCCAATGACAGCATCTTTCTTCTCCCCGTTCTTAAATATGATGATCGTTGGGATGCTTCGAATGCCGTATTGGGTGGCGATTTCCGGGCTTTGATCTGTATTAAGCTTAAAGCACTTCATTTTGCCTTCATATGTCTTTGATAGTTTGGCGATGACCGGAAGAATCATGCGACAGGGGCCGCACCACGGAGCCCAGAACTCGACCATCACAGGTTTATCAGACTCCAAGATCAGTGATTTCCAGGTTTCTTTGGTCACATCAGGCACTGCGATGGCATCAAGATTCAACACAGGTGTGTATGATATATTGTGCACAGAAAATAACAATCATCCTATACTAGATATAAGATTCGGAGAGCTTTAAAGGGTTAAAGGCTATGCATGGATGTACAAGTCTTATTAGCCCATTCATTGAAGATTCCTAAAATTAACATTAGCCAATGCTTTTCTTTATTTTGCAATCTCTATAATCTAAATCTATCGGATAAGCAAAATATCATTTTCCTATTGCTAGAATCAATGAACTCACTTAGATAAAAATATTATTTTCTTCGAGTCATGGCATCTTTAGTTAGCCATTTTCCTTCAAATCTATTTTACATATATCATATATAAATATTTTATTCAGTTCATCTTTTTCACTGAATTGTACATGCTCAAACCAAAATAATTTAATATTCACTATCTAAAACATAACTGCATTCCATGTTATGAATAGGAAATTAATTTTCACTATTACATCTTAAAACTCTCCATATATAAAGCAAGATCATAAGATCTAATAGTGGGCTTTTCCATTATTAGACTTATAAGGCCTAATTCAATGCTCGATCCCATATATTCAAAGGGTATAGTTGACACAGCCTATTGTCTAATAATTATCCAAGGCCTAATCATCTGCATATATAGTGCAAAATAAATATGGCTTATAACTCAAACTGTTCATACCCAAAACTATATGAATGATAGAGTCGACAAGGCCTATAACCAATACTAACTCAAATTCCAGCCCTTTTAACATGGGTAAAAGAGTCGAAAAAACCAAACAAAGACGAAGAAACATTGAGCACAGAATAAGTGATGCAAGCAAGATTCCTAAGCTAGCTTCAACGGATGGGTAAATATTAAATATCATCGATAATAGTAATAGAAAAATTGCAAACAAAGGATAAGGTTCACATGTGCTCTTTATTTATAAAAAAAAAA